CGTTTGCTTATTCGACAATCCTATCAAAGAATATGATATGGTAAAAGACCTGGTCTTCCTTGAAATTCACATCTGCCCTGTGACCTAAGGGCTCTCATGGCAATATGACAGAGTGGTTAACATATCAAGCTCACATTCAGCACTGTCACGGTTCGACTCCCGCGTGGGGTTTTGATAAGACCGATGCAAGGTCGAAACTGCAGTCCACTTCTGTCTGGTGAGAACAACTTTTGAGAAAGCAGGGCTATGTAAAATTCAATGGAAACTTCAGCTCTACTCACATCATTGTAAGAAAATTCTTCTACCAGTCCTTCATCACCTTAAACGAAATAGGGTGAATGCATCTCATATTCTTGAGTTACTGGTAGCCTTGAAACTCCACTCAAATACGAAAAATCTATAATACCACCTTATATCTTTTCGGCATTGAGACAAGGATAAGTAAAACTCGCCTAGCGGCTTGTCCTGTCATAAGAATTGTGGTGAAATAGAATAAAAATACAAATTATCACTACCTACAATGAATATAAGCCTAGACTAAAGAAAAATAAACAAAAGATGCAAATAATAATAAAATGTTTTCGGAAAAAAAGTTGGCATAGTAACGATCGATGTCTTATTTGAGAGGACAGGAAATAGATATATGTGATCATATTAAAATAAAGGCAATAAAATGTAGATTTTTTAGTTTTTTTTTAAGACTAAGACAAGGTGCTGTCGTGAGGTTGCAGTTTCTTTTTGATAGTCAGTCACTAATTGATCTTGTTGTTCAACTTGTTCTTGAGGTGGAAAAATAATTTGTTCTTATTTGCTAGGCCTCCGGGAAGGGAAGTTATGCCACGTACAGTGTGTGGTTATTCTTGCAATTTAGCAGCATAAATTCAGCGTTATACGCGTTATACGCCCAAAAATGTGGCCAAAAATAGACGCAAGGTAGTTAGAGTACAGGAAGATAAAATAATGAAATATAATCGAAGGTATGAAGACGAAGATAATGTGGCCTTTTGTGTGGTCGCAGTCTCCTTTCGTTGTATATAAGTTGTTTGACCTTGCTTTCACAACTTGATCATATCGGTAGGAAGACTTAGAGGAACACGCCTAGTCCCGAGTCCATTGTGTGTATGATCATTTACAAAGTCGGACCGTGGACGTGGTACATTCCCAGACGTTTCGCCTGCATCATAGTCGGCATCGTCAGTGAGTCGCCATTCCTAACATCACATAACAACTCGTCAAAGAGACAAATAAAGCCGATCCTTTGACTATATCCTCGTATCACGCCTTAACTGTTACAATTTTTACCGTGCCTATTTAGATGTAGTGTGGTGTGCTCCTTTGAGTGGCATTCATGAAAACCCTTCACACTCCACACTGTCATTCTCACCCCTTTCACAGTTGTGCTGGGAATGTTGACCAGAGTCCGTCATATTGTTATGTAGTCCTCCCCTGGGCCTTATCATAGTCTCCCTCTTGTCCCGTAGAATCCGTCTGCTATCTCCTTGATACACGTATTTCACTCGACTCCTGCCTACCCATCTGTGCTACTCGAGACGTTATTCGCCCTCCCCTGCGTCTGGGTGACTAATTAGAGGCTCAAGCCTCTGAGTAAATCTCATCGTCAAGTCTTTGCTACATGAACCACGTCTATGGTACAACAGACATACTGTCAACCAACTAGCTCCTGTCTCCGCCGCGTCCATCCTCTTTCTATCCCTAATACCAAATCTATTACTTCCTATGCCCCAGTCTCTTGTCTTCCAACCCACAGAAACGTTGTAGTTCAACATTGAACCTAATCAAGGCAAGCAGTACCACAACATTTGTGGGTTGGCGCACAAGAGACTGGGTCATAAAAAGTCATATACTTGATATTTGAGGTAGAAACAGGATAAATGCCGCTAAGACTGGAGATAGTTGACTGAAAGTTTTACCAGATACGTGGTCTATGTAGCAAAGGAGTCACCATTAGACTTACTCAGAGGCTTTAGCCTCGAATCAATCACCCAGGTGCAGGGTATGTGCAAATCACGCCTCGAGCAGCACAGATGGAGTGTCAGGGGTCGAGTGAAACATGTGAACCAGAAAGAGAGTAGATGGATCTTACGGGGCAAGAAGAAGATTGTGATAAGACCTAGGGAAGAAGGACTGCGTAACAATATGGCATACTCTGATTAACATTCCCAGCGCAAGTGTGAAGGTGAGAACGACAGTGTGAAGTGTGAACGGTTTTCATGAATGCCACTCGAAGAAGCACACTACACTACATTGAAATAATCACGGTAAAAAGTGTAACAGTGAAGGCGTGATAGGAGGATATAGGAAATGTGAATAGCCCAGGGCAGAAGGGGAGATACCACAACTGTTTAGCACACTTTTGGTCAAAGAATTGGCCACTTGTATCTTTGACTAGCTGTACTATGGTGCTACGAATGGCGAGACTCACAGACGATGTCGGCGAAACGTCTAGGGAAGTACCACGTCCACGGTCCGACTGGAAATGATCATGCATACAATGGACTCACGACTAGGTGCGTTCATCTAAGTCTTCCTTCCAATGTGACTAAGTTGCGAAAACTAGGTCAAACAACTTCTAATTAAATATAGTTAATTGAAGTAGTGAACATTGTGGCTCATCGTAGGAGCTTGTATGATTTGATATGATTTGATCATTTTTTAAATATGAATATTTTGCTTGAGGGACTAAAGTTAGAACTCACACAGCTGACGCAAATGAACACGATGAAGAAGCTCAGAAGTCCGCCAGCCACTCCACTGATCCAGGTGACTCTTACAAAGAGAATGACGCCAAAGATATTTTGGACACATGGCAGGAAGACGCCGAGTAAAGTTCCCAACTTATTGCCCTAAAAATGAGAATATTTAAGATAAAATGTAATTTTGTAATAAAAAAGCTTAAGGTAAAATAGGTTAAGCTCTTAAGTTGAGGCCTAAGCGTCACAGGAACAAACCTATTATGGAGGGTAATTGCCAAAATATCGTAACATAGGGCGGATTAAATGGGCCGATTGGATTAGTAGAGTAAGAATAAAATTTTCTTGGATATTGCGCAAGCCGAAAAGCAAACAATCAACAAGCTAAGAGTGTTGAGTGGAGAGAATCTCATGAGATTATATCCATGTTTTCTTTTAAGCGATGAGAAATAAAACTTTAGTCTTGAGCAAGATTCACAGGTATATTCAATCCAAAATGACGATTTTCACACAGCAATAGAATCTAATTAGATATAAAGAACATGTTTGTCTCATAAGTCCCCATCATAGGTGTAAAATGAGAGGACCATGTAAAAACCAAAGATCCATGACTGCACCGCAATCAGATAGAGCAAGTAATGTGTTTAATTTTGAAACTGAAATTCCTAGCATAGATATGCTTTGACGGAAGAAAAGTTATCGCAAGTCACTCGAGACTAAGAATTTTTAAAATAAAAGGAAATCCGAAAAGTAAAAAATCGTCTTTGGTTCACTGCTGTAATAGGGTTCCAGGGCCATACAACAATAGTTTATGTCTCCAAGACTAAATACTCATTAGCAGCGGATTTTTCTTATAGACAATAGCAGTTTATCTACATGTGATAAAATGAAGTCTTGAAATTATGATTGAGTTTCACTAAATATTATCCTTTAAACACATTTTCATTCAGTAGTGACTAAAATTCAGAATTTATCACAGCTTCACTAGTGTTTATAAAGGGATTGAAATTTAGTTGATGCAGCACAGAAATGTCTACTTCCTCCAGAATGGAATGAATGTGAGGCGATACTTTATAAGACTTAGTATGCCGGATTTTCAAT